CCCCCCCCCCCCGGTTCTACGACACCTAAGGTTTTTTAAGAAACGTACCGGTTCTATGACACCTAAGGATTTGAACTGAGCATGAGAATGCAAGCTTTTGTTTTCCGTAGCAGCAGTGTGCGATTTCTCGTTAGCACTCATTTGCTCCTCGACTGCCGCGTGGCATGCCGCCAATTGATGCCTCGACGCTCTCCACACGACGTTCCCACCCTTCATCTGCGATCCCTTCACAGCCACAGTGGGCGGCCGGTGCTCTTCCTCTCCCTCTTCTATTATGCCGCTATTATCAATCGCTGGGGGCTGATTTTGGTGCTCATCAAGGTTGTCCTGTGTAGGACACTCCTTCGTGGAAACATCCCTTGCACGCTTCTTATGGTTTGTTAATTGCGTGCGTTCAGAAGAATAGCAGCTTTCAGGATTAGGAGAGGAATTTCCCAGGTAGGTACATCGCTGGTATTGGGGGAAGACCGTTTGTTTTCTCTTGTTTGCGGCTTGAATTGGACCCGAAAGAAGGGATATCGGTGTTCCTAGCGATTTTGTGTAGGCAGCACTACATTGCCTGAGTCCTGCACAAGCACGTTCACGTAATGAAAGGAAAAGCGTTTTCCTCGCGAGACTTCTAGCCTTCGTAGACATTGTACCCTGTCACATGTGCAAATTGGCATGTACAAGTGTCTGAATGAGTGTATGCGATGGACAAGACACTGGTCGTGGGAGGGAGGGAAAGGACGATGACGCCAGACCGACTCGGAGGGGAAACGGAGGCGATGGAGAACGGCCCGCCTGCTTTTTTTTTCCCGCTTAAATTTTACTTTTATTTGCCATTGGGACTTCTTCATAAGCGGATGTATGTTCAACTATTGAATAAATGAGATCCACGGCCGTTTAAATAAAAGGGATCTCCATAAGATTGAGGTATAACCTAATAGTGATATCATAAAGCAAACAACGCGCTGATAAGGTCTTAAAACCTTATCTTTCAAGGCCAGAAAGCGACTGAATATGCATAAAATACCAGCATTCATCATATTTTTGTGTGTTGTATCACTTGCTTCTCGCTCTCATACCATAGTTCCTTGGCCACAGCTCGCGCATTTCGCGGCAGGCGGGGTCGCGCTCGCGTGAACCCTATGAAGGGGCCCATTACCTCCCAGGGCATCAGGAAAGAGGGGGACGGTGACCAATACGGATGAAAATACGGCACATTCGTCTCGTCGTCTTCATCCTCGTCGGAGACATTGGAATGGGTTGCGGCGTAAACGCTGGGTATGCTTCCTTGCTCATTGGAAAGAAAGGCCAGGGACATAACTGGGTCGAGCACCAAGCGCCTGTACCAGAGTGGGAAACTACGCCATATATCACTGGCAACAGCACCAGGAGAGACAGCTATTGCTCGGACGGACGTGCCTTTCAAGCGATGTCGTAATTCCAGTGTCATGAGGACGAGTGCCAGCTTGGAATCGTTGTAGCGGCTGGAGAAAATGCGGTCTTTCAAAGCGCGATAATTCCCGCTCAAGCTTCCTTGCCAATCCAAACACCCGAACTCGTGCATGAGCGAGGATACACTGACAATCCGGGAGTCAGGAGTAGCCTTTACAACATCCATCAAAAGCTTGGTCAGGTAAAAGTGGCCGAGGTAGTTGGTGCCGAACATGATCTCGAATCCCTCTTTGGTGCGTCCGGAGCCGTTGGCCAACCCAGCATTCAGGACTAATGCATCCAGCCGCTTATATCGCCCCAGAAAGTCCTCTGCAAAGGTTTTGATGGATGCGAAGCTTCCCAAGTCCAACCGCATGCAAACGAGGGTGCCTTTCCTCGCGAAGGGGAAGTCAAAGCGGTGCCCCGCATCCAGGCTGTGGAGTTCTTCAAGCATCTCATCACGTGCAGCCTTGGCCCGTTCCATGGACCGACAGGCCAAAATCACCGTAGCGCCCATTTTACATATGTTAAGGGCGGTAGCTCTGCCAATGCCTGTGTTACTGCCCGTGACAATTACAATCTTACCCCGCATGTCGTTTGCGATGAAGTCAAGCTTGTTCGCCTCCGGAACAAGACCCACTTTCCGCAAAATTGGAAATACTATTGCCGATGAAGTGACCCATCCTAAGGCCAGAGGTCCATTCCAGATCCAGTGCAGAGGAGTCAGCATGTTCTGTGTAACGCCAAAGGGAATAACAAGAGACAAATCGGGTTTTTATGGCAATCTAATAAGAAGGTAATTTCTTCATCCACTCATGAGTCAAATCAGTTGGCTGATTCTATCTATCAATCAACCAGATTCACAAGTTGAGAGAAAGTGGGGCTTGATTTTTCAAAAACCACATTTTTACTTCGAACGGGAGATTTTGGCTCCTGAGAACGGATAAGACCGAGTTTAACCTCCCGTCCCCCCCCCACGTTCGGTAAGGGAAGTACCACGCAGAAACCTGCACAGACAGGGCATTTAGGACACAGTTTTAATAAAGCAAGTGCGAGGCTACCGTCGAAACTAGGTAAGACAAACCGTAGTTTGCCGCTAAAGCGCCCTGAATTACCCGAAATCGGGGCATATGTTCCTCTGAAGAGCCTAATTTTCATTGTTCTTTGAAACTTGAATATCGATACCATCTTCCGTCATACATGGGACGGTGCGCTAACCGTCCCAATAAAATTTTCTCACTAACCTCCTACATATCTCCTCTTTTCATTGCTTTCGGCTGAAAACTTTATGCTTCCGTTCGTCGCTATGGCGTTCCTCTTGGCATGAAACCGTCTAAATCTTATCCATCAAAATATTATGCGCCACGAGGTAGAACTAACTGGAAGAGATCTTGTGGACGCGTTGAACCAATATATTTTGGCATGGGCTTGAACACAGGTACTTTGGCCGCTTCCGTCTTAGATTACTACTCCGCTACACCGATAAATGGGTGCATGATACATTCCCACCAAATAAACCCCATGTCATGAAATACTACCCCCAGGTCGCACGTGCGGTCGAGAGACATACCTCTGGCCTTAATTCACTATGTCTTCTCATTCATGGCTTCACGCCACCTTGACCACCGTCAGCCTCTTTTCTCCCTTGCATCTCGGTGGAACAGGCACGGACCAAGCAAGGTCCTCCTATATTATACACAGACACATACCCTCGACACCAAGTCCTTCTCATCTTCTCGGACGTCTAAGCTCTTTCCGATGTCGTCTCGCCTACGAAAACTCGTGTACCGCTCCAGAGCGGGGATGGGCCACTAGGGCACAGTCAATGTTCCCATACCGGCCCGTGTGCTGCTTGTACCACTCCACCGTTTTGTGCAGTCCGTCCTCCCACGACACAATCTCCCGCCAGCCCAACTGCTTGAGGGCTTCGCTGTTCACCGTGTATCGCAAATCTGGAAAAAGGGAATCGAGTGGGTATCAGGGAAGGGATGCAGGGACGCTCGCGTCGATCGGGACAGCAGAAGGCCCAGAGCAACCCCCGGCCTCTGTAATGTCAGCCATGCCATACCTCCTTGGTACACGCATTTCGGACAACCTACCGTTGAAGGCTCGATCTTCGACGAACTGCAGCATCTTCTCCTCCTCCTTCCCGTGGCCCATTAGCCGGATCAGGTCCTTGGCGACCTCGATGTTCGCTTTCTCGTGGGTGCCCCCGATGTTGTAGATCTTGCCCGTTACACCCCTGTGCAGGATTACTTCGAACGCACGCGCCACGTCCTCCACCTGTTCAAAACCGGCGACAGAGATGCGGCGTGAGCGTGGGTGAGGGAGAGGGAGGAAAGGAAGGAGGGAGGACGCTGGGGGGAGCGACTCACGTAGAGGAAGTTGCGGGTATTGAGGCCGTTCCCGTGCAGCGTCACCGGCCTATCACGCATCAGCAAGTTGACAAACTTGGGGATGAGTTTCTCCGGGTACTGGTGGGGACCGTAGACATTATTTCCGCGCGTGATGATCAATGGGAGGTTGAAAGAGCGAGAGTAGGACTTGGCAATAAACTCGGCGCCCGCCTTGGTCGCGGCGTAAGGATTCGTGGGCTGTGTGGTCAAACAAACGAGATCGATTGAGAATGAATACGCACAAACGCGGGTAAAGGGGGGCATGGAGGCGAAAAGCATGTCTAGCCATGCCAGTCACGAGCAGGGCCGCGTGATTTCACATTCCCTGCCCGCCTCTTGGACTGCACTCACCTCTAAGACTTGGTCCTCGAACATGGGTTCTTGGTCCGCCGCTCCCTCCCCGTACACTTCGTCCGTGGACACGTGGATAAAGCGCTTGATGTTGTGGACTTTCGCGCTCTCCAAGAGGACGTGCGTCCCCAGAATGTTGTTCTGCGTGAAGGAGAAGGAGTTGCCGAAGCTGTTGTCCACGTGGGTCTGGGCCGCAAAGTGCATGATCGTGTCAATCTCTTCCTCTTCAAGTACGTAGTTCACGAGGTCAGAGGAACAGATGTTGCCCTTGACAAACTTGTAGTTTTTGTAGTACTTGATTTCGTCCAGATTCTCCAGACAGGAGCAGTAGTCCAGTCGGTCCAGGTTGACCTGAAATGGTGGAAAAGGCAGGCGGCGCCATGAAAAATCGATTTGTTACTTGCCTGATGACAATACCCCACGCTATCCTACGACCCTAACGAGTAGTCTCATCATTAGCCCGTAGCTTAATGTCTTTGTGGGAATATTCCTTCCCATCTTATCATGCCAGCTTTCAAACATCGCGCAGGGAGCCGGGAGGACCAGGAAATCGCAAAGAAACACAGGGTACTTACGATTTTATACTTGGGAAACTTCTTGACAAGAAGTAGCACGACGTGAGAGGCGCTGTGTCAAAGAAATTTAGGTAAGCCGTGGCGTTAGTTTGTACGCAGGGATTTATCAGAGAAACTGCCGGGGAACTTACATGAAACCGGCCCCTCCAGTTACTAGGATGTTCTTTGGTGTATACTCGGCCTCCGGTGCGCTGCCATTATGAACGTTACCGTTGCTCATGATGAAACTAATGCACGGATGGTGGTGTAACTGTATGTGCGTGTGCAGGTGTGTGTGGGCATGGTGGGACATGGACAGAAAGGGGTTGCTGACCGTCGAGGCGAAAGCCCATAGCGAGTTTAAATAAGAAACCATTGGCGGACCGCGCCGTCAGACCTGCGTTCCGACCACGTGTAGGTCAGAGCACAAACAATGCATGACCTGGCATACTCATCATGCATTGCAGCGGCGCCGGTCACAAAGTGACCATTTCAAACCGCAAAATTGAACGCATGAGGGCGACGACGCGCTCTTTTCGGACGCCGGAGCTGCGGACAGTGCGCAGCTGCGCTACCGAAGACTTGCGACGCACAGGAAATCCACACACACATGCCAAGACGCATTGATCCTCATAAAATTTGCATGGCGTTGTGTCTTTTCTTTCGTCAAGGCCTCACTTCTCACACCAAAGACACGGCGGCCACGCGGGGGAGTCGTTGCCTCCTGAGCTTTCTGTCGACAGAAGATCGATCAGGTCGCACAATCCAATAAACAATCATAGCTTTCGCGCATTCCATCGACATCGGAACCACGTCGAGTTGCGGCTTGTAGGATGTGTGCGCTCGTGAAAGGGAGCTTGCGCATGGTACGAGAGGAATACAAGTTGAGAGCACACGTGTTGATAGAATCTAGGATAGGTAGGTTACGTAAGGAGATTCTGCACCATGGCATGATTTACGAAACCGCCGCGATACCACCCCGGTTTGGGGCGCAGGAAGTGAGGGGCGGGAGGTCGAGTACTATCGCTTTCCTATATTATCGCTTTCCTTAAAAGATGTGGGGATGTTTTACTAAAAATGAAATCCAACTATTTTTTAATTTGGACAGACGCACACAGGTCATGCGTCACAGGCTCGCACTGGCAACGCAGTTCGGTCGTCCGGCATGCCAACTCCATCGACCTCAAGTCAAACGTAGCTCCTCCTCGTCTCAAGCTTTACTGCCCCTGAATAATAGCCCCCAACACGCCACGACTCAAATAGAGCTCAATGAAAATGCCGTGGACGAGGTTGGAGTCAAGCACCGACGTCTTATCGGCCCTCGAACGGTGGTGGTTAGCACGCCTACAGATAGGGCGGAAAATCCTCACGTGCAGCGGGTTTTGGCCCGATTGCGTGGCGTAGGGATTGAATGTGGTACATTCTCCATGCTGGAGCGATACCCAACAACGCAAGCCTTGGATGAAGGTGCACAAATGGCTAAACGTATGGGAGCGCACTCCATCATAGGGGTCGGGGGGGGGGCGCGTTGGATTTGGCCAAAGGTATGGCTGTCCTGGCTTGTACAGGCGAGGGACGTGCGCGAGACTATCTCCGAGTGTTCCATAAGGAAAAAGAGCTTTCCGACCAGCGTTTGCCTGTTGTGACGGTCCCAACCACGGCCAGCGCAGGGGGAGGGGGCATCGGGCCCCAATGCCTGGCTCTGTACGAAGCCGAAGAGGCCTTGGTGCCCATGCACGCCCGCGACCTGGCACCCGACCTCGCCATCGTCGACCCCACCTTGACGGTCACCCTGCCGCTCCAAGCGGAACGCTCCATGGCCCTGGGAGCCTGGTCGGTATGTTTTGACGCCCTGCTGTGCGGATCCGTGCGGGGAGTGCTGGCTAACCACGCCATGGCGGACTTGATCCTCGGGGGCGCCTCGGAACTGGGTCGCGGCCTGGGAATGGCGGCAGGGAGCGACAAAGGGGAGACAAAGAGAAGGCATTTGGCCCAAGGCAGCGTCGCGGCAGGTCGTTTGTTGCGCTTGGTGAAGGCCCCCCCCATACAAAGCCTGGCGCGTTGCCTCGCCCCTCTCTTCCCCCTTGCCACGTACTCGCAACTGACTGCCGTCCTCCTGCGTTCGTACCTGGCCGTCCTGGCTGATAGGAGGCAGCAGGGTGAGCTGGGTGGGGAGGCGTGGAACGAGGCATTGCTGCTTCGAATGAGTGCAGCCACGTGCTCTGCTCGGGACGGTCCAGGTGCCAATGGAGGAGGACTTCTGGAGATGGCGGAGTGGGCATGGGAGGAGAGCCAAAAGGCGGGCCTGCGCAGCTTGTTGGACTACCGGGCGTTGGACAAGGAAACCAAGGACGCCGAGGCCTTGGCGGGGCAGGTGATGAGCGTGCTGGCTCTGTTTGAAGTGGAAGGGGGGCCTGCATTGGAGGCCGACGTGGTCCGGGACGTGCTCGAAGTGTCGTTAGGAACGTGAATTCTTGGGTGTCGAGATGAAAGAAATGTACAATCTGTGAACGGACGAGGAAGAGTCCGTCAATGATGGCTTCCTCTGGCGTAGGCAGATTTTTATGCGCCTTCTCGAGGCACCTTCATCTTGCACCGTGGGACACACACACACAGCCGAGCAATTTCTTTCCCGCCTCCCAGCAGTGGCAGCCAACACCTTCCGGCGCACGTCTCTTCAGAGCACTGGCATGCCAGTCTCAGCCTCGGTCTGTTTAGCGGCCTCCTCGTCGCTCTCCCACGGTGCCTAGGTTCTCGGCGTCCTCGCTCCCTCAGCTGCGTGGGTAATGTCGCTCCCTCCGGCCTCCGCTGTCCGGGCCAGGGCAACGTGATCTGTCATGCAATCGCTGGGGTCCTCCGTCTTGGGGGCTTCCAGACCAGTTCCTTTCGATCCTCTGGCACCTTTCAATGCTATGGCGGCCGAAGTAGACGATGACGGGGCTCGCTCCTGCAAAAAGCTGCCCGAACCCCGCGGCGCGGCGCCCGGCCTCTCTTTTGTCGCTGCCTGTGCCCTGTTTGGCTGAGAAGGACCCTCCTGGCCTTTGTTCTCCATGCTCAACACCGGCAATGCGAATGCGGGGACGAGGGGTAGGAGCAGCCTGCCCCCCACTTCGTTCGCCTCCTCCACCACCTCCTCCGAATCTCCAGCCCAGGCGCGCCAAAAGCTGTGTGTACGGGCTAAGGACGCGGCGGCGGCCGAAGTTTGGAGAGCGACCAGATTGGCCACCGCTCGGTTCAGGTTTTGGGTCCGTTCGCGGGCCGTGTGCGGGACTGTGTAGCAGAGGAAGGCCTTGGTAAACTTGTAGAGAGCTACCTCCTCGGTCGCCAACCGCCCTTCGTAGACTTCCCGGTCCGCAGGGCTGGCGGAGCCGTGTCGGAGGCGATGGACCTTCTTTTGGAGCTTGAGGATGGAGGCAAGGAGCGCCTCACGTCCGGCCACCAGGCCTTTGAGAGCCTGCAGTCGAACGAGCTCGTACTCCAGCCGGGCCAGGAAGAGGTAGGCCGCTTGCTCGGGGACCCCCTGGTAGCCCGGAACCGTGTCCGCAAACATATTTGCGGCCTGAGATGCAAGTGCTGGAATCGGCGTCCACCTGGGAAAAGGCGCGAAAGCGACGACATGGGGCTCTTCCGCATGAAAGCTGCCTCTTGTGCCTTGATCTCCCTCGGAGGTATCCTTGTGGGACGTATCGACGGCGTTCAAGCTCTCGATCTTTCCTTCCCCCTCCGCGAGGACATGCATGCTCTGACTAAAGATTTGTATGCCCTTTGCGTATTGGCGGATGCCCTCACCGAGAGCCTGGTATGCTTCCAGGGTCGCCCTCACAGCGCTTTCCGCCGTGTCGATTTCACCGCGCACTTTCTCGATCACGACTTCCGGCTCCAGCGGCAGTACAAAAGAGGAGAGGTATTCCGTCCACTGGACATAGCCACGGTTGTGAGTAGGAGTGAGGGAGGTGGAAGGAGGAGCGGGCGGTGACTCCTCAGAGGAAAGCGGGGGACATGACGCATGAGGCAAGGTTTCCCCTAACCCTTCGTCGAAGAGAGCTACAATGGAGTCATTCCCACCCGTGGTGGTGCGCGTTAAGAATTTCTGGGTGAGCAAGTCGTTGAAGAGAAAAGGAGACGCCGCGATACCGTCCATGAAGTACTGCAGCCAATTCATGCGACTCTTGATAAAGTCCATGTCCTTGTTATTTCTGATGCTTTTTGGAGGCAACGGCGGAATCAACATTCCCTCAGCCCCAAACCGGCGTTGCAACCGCAAAGACAAGGCTTCAAAGTCCGAGTAGCGATGCCGAACACCATACTTTGGGAACTTAGAGGGACTCTGCGTTGAATTTCCACACTGCACGCAGACTGCATAAGTCATAACTTGTCGCGCGGTGAGGAGCCCTCCGCTTATTTTGCGAAGCTCAGGAAGCTCGACCACGATACGCAGTTGATGCCTCTCATAGTCTTGCAAAATGTGGCTCATGATATTTGACGGTGTCAGGGGAGTCGTTTCTTATTCCTAGAGGGGCGTACGGCTTTGTGAGAACACAGTGTAGGCAGCTGAAAAAATAGTCACACTGACGATGCGGTGTAACTCGTCCTTACAAAGCGCTGTGACTGAAGCCTATGAATCTGCATCCCGTTCATAAGAGAAAAGTGTGGCAATTATCTGCGCTTCCTCGAATGCAGAATTAAAATAACAAAACAGATTACGCGTTAGATGGATCAGCATTATCGTCTTTCGTTGCTTCTTCTTGAAGTATCGGCCCATCCGGAAAGAAACTTTACACGGAGATGTACAATCGCTACGTTATTATGTCCTTCTTTCCTGTGTACAGATTACTTTCATGTCTCTACATGCGAGGCACGTACCCGGGGGAGGGTGGATTTTGCCGATCCTTTGCCACCGTGCCATAGGACCATGGCGTTCCCTCACCACCATAACCTCCCTGGCCCCCTTTGGCATGCCCGACTCGCCGGCGCCCCAGCGTTTCGATGCGCAAATTAGCCTGAATTTTGTCTGCGGAAGACATATGGATGACAGGCCGGCCATCTCCAGGGGCCAACAACACGAGGCGCCCTGCCGCGGCCTCACCCATCAAACAGTCTTCCACGGAATCATATTCTTGCCAGACCCTGCTTAGTTTCGCCGCACCGGTATGCGTCAAAATGTAACCCCTACGAGACATATATGCTTCCTTCGGCAAGGAAGACGCGTGTGTGCCAATCTTAAACCTGTGCCGTGTTTTGACCTCGGGCCCCGGGAGGCTGAAAGACAAGGCTAGCAC